CAAGCACCCATAATCCTTTTATGAGCTATTGTACATCTTTTTATATCAGTCTCGATGTAATATGGTACCCATCCTAAGGTATTAAATAGATCTACAGTGTTATGGCGTTGTTGGGCGTCAAGGATAATACGAGCCCAGCGTTTTTGCAGCCTGAATACCTTACTTATGTTGTCGTGGCTGCAGCAGCTTGTCCATGTTATGCTGCAATATAATATCAATGGCTTAATTAAAGAATTATAATAAAGTATACGCTCTGCTCTTGGAAGATAAGCCTTGATTCTGTTCAGTATACCGATACGCTTCGATATCTTCTTACATAAAGAGTCAATATAAATTTCGAAACTGAGCTCTTCATCAATTTCAAGGCCTAGCAGTTTAACGTTCTTAACCTGCTCTAACGTGCGTCCTTCGAGCTCTATCTCAAGCTTTCGACCTTCATTACTCAAACGTTTTCGTAAGCGCGGTCCATCAATTAGCATTGTCTTCGTCTTGGAACAATTAAGTGGCAATTTGTTGTTAGTTGCCCACTCATTGACATTGGAGACCTCACTGGATAGTGTGTTCTTAAGTTCTTTAACATTAGCACAATCGGAAGAAGCGAGGAGGGTGGTGTCATCGGCAAACATGTCCAACTGCGTGTGGACATGTAAAGGTAGGTCATTGATAAACAGCACAAAAAGTAAGGGACCCAATATGGAACCCTGTGGCACACCCGCTGTGATACTCAGCACGGTCGACGTTTCTCCTTTGAATGATGCCATTTGAGTTCGATCGGTTAGGTATGACTCGAACCAAAGTAAAGCGTTCCTATCTAGTTTGTAGGCTTCAAGCNCTTTGAATGATGCCAATTGAGTTCGATCGGTTAGGTATGACTCGAACCAAAGTAAAGCGTTCCTATCTAGTTTGTAGGCTTCAAGCTTGCTAAGCAAAGTCACATGATCCACCATGTCAAAAGCCTTCTTATAGTCTACTAGAACCATACCATTAATATGGTTTTTGTCTAGATTGAAGAGCAGAGTATCAACTATATAAGCAAGCGCCGTCTCCGTGCTGTACTGCTTTCTAAATCCAGACTGGTTCTTATAGATGAGGTCGTGAACATTTAGATATTCAGACAAATGGTCATGCACATGACGTTCGATGATATTAGACAACACCGGAAGTACTGAAATGGGCCTATAGTTGTTTACCTCATCCATATCACCAGCTTTATGAAGGGCAGTCACTCTGGCTCTTTTCCAACGACAAGGAAACGTTCCAGATGAAAGCGATAGGTTGATGAGCTTTGCTATTGAACGCGCAAGTTCTGTGATGCCTAGGCGCAGGAGAGAACAACTGATGCCATCAATTCCGGTTGCTTTATTAGCTGGAATTTTCAGTAAATATACCTTTACCATGTCAGTTGTAATTGGAGGTATAGTGTAAGTGAATTGCGATTCTGAAGGTAGCCTTTCGCCAACAAACTGTTTAAGTTTATTAAGGTTACAACCGTTAGCGGTCAGGAGGGATTGTTTCACTTTATCCGCAACAGATGTAAAGTGGAGATTGAAATAATCCGCGATATCTGCCGCTGCTGAAATTATCTTTTCCTCATCCGTGAATCGAACAAAGTAATTATATAAATTGAATGCACCCTCAGTTCCAGAGCAGCTACAGATAATAATTCAGAATATTCGCATCATCAAACAAGGTAAAACAACATCTGAATCATGGCTGCTATACAAGATACCAAACCATTACCCTGCAGCGAAGAGGAACTCAGAGAAATGGCTTCGCAGTACAGGACTCCGTTTTATCTTTACGACAAGCAGAAAATAGTGAACGGAGCCAAGTAGTTCCATGATAGCTTGGCCTGGGTGCTATCGCTAACCGATACACAGTTTAAGAACCGGTTTACAGTCAAGTCAACACCTAATCCGATGATTTTAAAGATTCTGCGTGAGGAATGTGATATAACCATGGACTGCAGTTCACTAGGAGGGTCATATTAGTGTACCACGGGGGTCGTACTACGGAGGTACACCAACATGGCGGCTCCATACTGGGCTCTGTAAATTTGTACAAAATATTTCGACGAATATCTGAAGTTTGGGAAAACGTACAGACTTGGACAAGTGTCTTCTTTATCAGTCTCCTAAAACATCACAATTTCTTGACTTTATCCGCTGAATGGTTTTCGAGTTATTTTTTTATTGCGTGAGAGTGCAAGGCAGTCCCAGAAATCACCTGTCTTGGCCAGTAGGCACGTGGGACGAGCTTGTCAAAAGGAAGGTTATTGGTCTTAGGTTGACTCAGGTTGAAAGCCTCTTTTCGTATTACATTTGCAAAAGATTGATTGGAAATAGAGGTCACACATTGCAGTAGATTCAACCTGGGTTCGAAGATCTTAGAAGCTCCCATTTCGTGTTTGGACAAATAGGTCAATTAGTTTCTGTTGTTCCTAGGGGTTATTTCTCTCTCTTGGTTATTTCTTTATTGAATTAGAGAAGAGAAAGAAAATGTCATTTTCTCTTGATTACATATATGTTTTTCTCATAATTATTATAATTATTTGATGTCCCGGAATGTTCCATGTTCCATGTTTCATGTTCCTGCTTTTATTGACGGACTTCTGGAGGAGTGTTCTCCGCAGGACTATTGATTGGTTAAAACTTATCACGTGACATTTATCCCACGCTTGCTACGGCTGCGAGCCCTTGCTGGATTGTAAACGAATTTTCTTACTCTGTCCTTGAAAAAGAATGCCTGAGACAGCAGGAAAGGTGAGTTATTGTGCCAAAGTTTGGAGCTTGTTACGTGAAAACGTTCACTCACGCGGCTCGATAGAGGTAGCCACCAAGTAAGGGTTCATCGCTGTTCGCCTCTCAGCTGAAAAATAATACGTAAGGTTAATTTCCATAGTTCGTGTTACAGGCCTCAGAGCTAGACTGGAGATCCCGTGGGAGTGGGGAGATGTACTGCCTAGTCCCAGGGATTGGGATTTGACAGAGAAGTATAAAAACATCCCGAAGTCGGAAATAAAATAATCGGCACGGCACGTTAAACTTTTAGCACCGTGCTAACGATTTTACGGCCCGGCACCTCCTAAGTAGTGTAACAGTGATCCTGGATAATAGAATCATCGCTCCTGCCTCCCCCTTTCCCCTGTGGCTGGTTCAACAAGTGGCAAAGCACGTGCGCTACGCTTCAAATATTCATTCTGGTAATCCTTTTTAACCCGTGGGTTGCGTGGGTTGTAGTGATCGATCAGATTTTGCAAATTACTTTGGCAGGTCATGAACTGAACCTCCCATCAGAATTCTTCTGTTTTGCAGGCCCATGTATCATTTGACATCTCTAGGACGTGTTTCTTATTTGGGAGTGTTGGGTGGAACTACTCTAGCAAGCCCTAGAATTTCAAATTTCATTGGTAACACATTCTCAGTTCCGTATACAGAGATTGTGGGAAATGATCGGTAATGGAAAATTTTTTTGACAAAATTTCACACTCGATTTGGACACAAATAAAAGGAAACGAAAATAGTATGAAACTGAAACAAGCATTTAATATGTGTAAGCTTATATGTACTGAGTGGCATGGATCTTAGACAACAAGTAGTCCCTCTAATTCACTTAGTCTGTCGTGCATGATGCAAAAGAAAACTGCAAGAAAAAAATGGCCACGCGAACTCCTGGGGTTGGTTACCATGTAAAAGGAGGGACTACCACCTAAGCCACAGAGTTTGAATTATGTGTTGCTCTCACTGCGCAAAAATATGATTGGCTTATGTAAGGAGCATTTGAGATACATGTGACGTCTTGCAGGAATGTTTTATCTCGTTCTCTGAAAATAGGGAAGCAAATCAAAGTGTTGGAATGGTGTCTCACAGGCTGCGATGTTCTTGCGATTCTGCCAACAGGCTATGGAAAGAGTTAAATTTAAGAAGTATTTTGTTTGGCAAAGCTTCTCACCTCAAACCCGAATGAGAATGTGTTCGTGATTGGGGTTTTCTTTCTTGTCACACATGGCAGACTAAGTGAAAGAGGGACTACTCATAGTCTACGTGGATCTTGCTACTAAGCTTAAGTTTATAAACAACAGATGTTCTCTGAAATGGGGAAATGGTTTTGAAATCAGTACAAAATTACCTCTTCCCAGATGTTTTTTTAATAATTTATACAAAGCCATTTTTTGTACTTCTTCGCAGTGGATGCCATTGATTGCTGGGATGAAAAGGAATAATTGTGGCTTGTTCACCCTATATCAGCAGCTTGTCTGCCATCTTAGATCTGTCCCATACTGCACTGCACATACGATGCGATGCACTTTGGAATGGATACAACATGGCAGACGGGTGATAATTGGAGTGTTCATTAAAGAAATTGCTTTGACTACTTCTTGATAATAAAAACAGGAATTTTGATTGGCAAGGCTGAAGATGTCCATGGCAAACGGTTTTTTGGTTCCGTCATTTCTGAATCATGTAACAACACAGTACCAGAAACGATTGTTACCGTGAAATCCTAGGACCTGCTATAGGCCATTTCCAACAGTTGGTCATGTGGCTGATAATTTCTAAACTTTTAGCCACAGCATTCAGAACTGGGAAGAGCATGTTTAAAATAGTCAAAACAGCTATTTTCAGAACTTTTATAATCACCTTTTTGCAGCCCATATTCTGCAGTGCAGCTGTGGCTTGGGAGGCCAAGAAACCTCTTGTTATAGAAACAATTGAGGTTGAACCACCTAAGGAGGGAGAGGTGCGTATCAAAATCCATGGAACAGGTGTGTGCCATACAGATAGCTATACACTTAGTGGACAAGATCCAGAAGGACTGTTTCCATGTGTTCTTGGACATGAGGGAGGTGGTATTGTTGAAAGTATTGGCAAAGGAGTAACAAAGGTAGCTCCTGGTAAGTCCTAACACTAAGTACTGTTAGTATGTTCACATGAGCATTTTGTCTCGTGCCCACGTGATCAAAGTCACATGGACACAAGATACATGTAATAGAGTGAGTTCGCACATTCCTGTGTAACCGTTCTTTGCGTTCCTAATGTACGATTCCTGTGAAGATATAGGTAGATAGATATGGTTCAGGCAACTTGCGGGTTGGTCAATTTTGGCTACCAAAGACAGATACAAAACCGACAATGAATTGATGACCATTGACAGTTTACAGATTGAAGACACCTTATTTATTTATTTTATAAAGGGGACTGGGATGTAGACCTATTTGTGACAGGCTGTTTTTTTAGCATTTTATTTTGTTAGTGTCCGAGCACTCTGTTAATGCAACTTGCTTGCATTTAAATCAAATTTGATAACAGTCACGTTTCAGTTTGGGGAGGCATGGTGGCCTCATGGTTAGTGCGCTCGTCTCCGGATCGAGTGGTCCAGGTTCGAGCCCTGGCCAGGGACAATGTGTTGTGTTCTTGGGCAAGACACTTTACTCTCACAGTGCCTCTCCCCACCCAGGTGTATAAATGGGTACCGGCGAACTTAATGCTGGGGGTAACCCTGCAATGGACTAGCATCCCATCCAGGGGGGAGTAGAAATACTCCTGGTCGCTTCATGCTACAGAAACCGGGATAAGCTCCGGCCTGATGGGCCACTAGGCTGGCATGCAGACTTTACCTTACCTTACCACGTTTCAGTCACACAGAAAAATCTAAAGGTGACAATGAGTGGATTAAACACTAACCTCTAAAGTGCATTTCTACGAATAAGCAAACAGGTTTCTAACTCAAAAATTGATTGTTAGGTCTATGATCAATATCTCACTGTATATATATACTGCCATGGGTCAGACCAGGTTAGATCATATTGCGTTCGTGATGCTACCGGACGTGTAACGCTAAACTTGCCACAAGTCAACCTCAAGTGTTTCAGGGTAGAAGAGCTACAGTGCTTGAAATTAGTAGTCGTCTGGTCGTCCAAGACTACTAAAAAATTTTTCTGTAAAATTAAAGGCCTGCTTGTCCAAGGAAAATAATACCAGACAACCCAGGAGAAATTGATTAGCACTTATTGTTACTTTGAAGTCCAACAGAATAACAAAATAAAGGTTTATGTTAAATGATTTAAATCTGGTGTTTTTGTTCGTTGACGGAAGCTGCAAACTGCCATGTTTTCAAACCCAGGCCTCCCTGAAATCTTATGGCATGCAGGTAATCATTCTTTTCTGAGGCAAAGTACTTCGTAAGTTGTCAAATATACATTTACAGGTAAGAAAGTTCTGTTAATTAATCAGGGCTGTGTGAGATTAGCTAGCCTGTTTTTCAGGGTTATGAACTAGGCCATTATTTAGAGCAATCAAATAGTGTATCTTTCAAAAAACAGTGGACTTTATTTTGTTTGCCACTCCTCGCTGAATGTTTGACANTAATGCTGGGGGTAACCCTGCAATGGACTAGCATCCCATCCAGGGGGGAGTAGAAATACTCCTAGTCGCTTCATGCTACAGAAACCAGGATAAGCTCCGACCTGATGGGCCACTTGGCTCGCATGCAGACTTTACCTTTACCATCGAGCAAACAGTCACTACTAGTAACTACATACATGAAATTTGTTTTCACTGCACAGTTAACTTTGTAACTTATGGACAATAATTGATGGATGTCCCAGTGTCATGCCACGCCACATGTCAAACACCCTAAGGAAAAAAATGTAAGCAACTCTGCGAGTTCAGTGTTTGATACTGGTTTAGGTTACGTTAACCTCACTTTCAGTTTACTCTCTAATTGTCAGTGAGCCCCGCTTTTCTTTTCATAGATCACTTCCTTTACTGATTTTCTCCAATTCAACAACAACAACAACAACAACAACAACAACAAAAAGACTAAAAATTCCACCNTTTTTTTGCAATAGTTGACCTTTACTTTGCTGCATGGAAAGTTTGTGGGAACATTCTTGGCACCAGCATCCTTAAAAAGTAAATAAATTGTTTTTGTATTTCAGGTGTCTTTCGATTTGAGTCTGGCCAGAGGGTTGGATTATTACACAGGAGTAATATATGAAGCAATATTAACAGGAGAACAACCTGATCTGGGAAAGGCTGCTAAAGGTATTAAAGTGAAATGAACAGCAAAAATGGTACATTCTAAAGTAAAGTTTATGCACTGGTTGCTTATTTTACCAGGTGAGCCTGTGGGTGTTGGGTCAGTGGCTGGCGGTGGTCGCTATGACAACCTTGTTGGGATGTTTGACCCCAGGAAAAAAAAGGTAAGGCATGGCTAACTACTGTATCAGGTACATACATGAACATGTAGCTGGAGTTTTCACAACCAAGCGAGTTTGCACGCACTGACAAAATCACCCAAAACATTTTTATTTCACATTCTTTAATCCATTGAAGGTGAAGGCTAACTCGAAATAGAAAGTCCATAATGAGTTCAGTGGTGCAAAATCAGTGGGTGTGACCTCACTTGGGTGTGACTCAATGGGTAACACTCCTGTGTGATGAAAAGAAAGAGAACAGTTCTCATAATGACGGCTTACAAATGGTGAGTGTAAACATAAACAAAGCAATGTACTGGTCAATCAGAACTTCAGGTAGTAGCCATGCACCTGTTGCCAAGCGAGTAGAGGATGCTGCTTGGATTGATAAAAAGTGGCCCTCTTTTTATGCTCGTTGGCTGTCAGGAGCTCATCCTAGGCAGACTAGAGCAAATGTTTAGAGTCTGAGTCAGTCAGATTTGCTGTACTTGGAAAAGTTACTGAAAGTGAATTAAGACTCAAATTGATACTCGATTCCATGACAATAGATTATTAAAGGAGCTCAGTCTCTGGATTACAAACGACGAACTTGAAAAATTTAGGCTAAACTTTTCAAGATGCACAAACTGTGACGTAGTTCTTTTTTTTGTTGTTAATTTACTTATTTGCTCAATACTCTAGGTAAACTGTTTATCCCGTCAATAAAAAGGAAAGCAACTTAAAGAAATGCATTGTCATTAAAATATTTTGGCCACTGCTCAAAATAAAACTTTACACTTGAGTATGCTAAGAGATCTGACATGTGTTTATTTGATTTTTGTTTATTTTCGAGGTTCCTTGTGTTGGTGTAAGCATAGGAATTGAAAGAATATTCTCCATTCTGGAAGCTAAAGCTGAGGTACAGTAACATATAACTTATTCAGGATGCACTTTACAATTTCCACATATACCTGGTAGTGTTAACTTATCACCCATTCCGTGTGGGGAGGCGGCGTGGCCGAGTGGTTTTGGGCATTGGATTTTAATACCGCTATCTAGATTTGTTCTCGGTAGTCCCGAGTTCAACTCCTCGACGGCGTTGTGTAAAAAGCCAACTGGTCACCCTCCCACTAGTTGGGATTCTTAATAGTTTACGTTCCGTTTGAAATATTTGGTTATTTATTTATTTATTGATTTACAGTGACCCCAATTAGCACACCAGTGCTAAATACATGTGACACTTAAAGTAACATTATTTTTTTATTTGCTCAGTGAAGAAGTCCAGGGTACTTGATCGATCATGTTTGTTGATATTGCAGGCGGCAGGCAAAGTGCGAACCACAAAGACGCAGGTGTTAGTGGCATCCGGCCAGAAAAATCTCTTAAATGAACGCCTTAAACTTGCCTGCCAGCTGTGGGATGCAGGAATTAAGGTAATAACCATTTGAAGATATTAATTTTCTGACGTTCGCTTAAACTACATCAAGCTCGGTTTTCACTAGTGACGTGCGCATAAACACAATGATCTGCGTGCTGAGCTGCTCTTGTTTTTGGAGATGTGCCCGGAGTTATACCCAGTGAAACCAGTTAACAGTCAATATTGCTGTTGGCATTTGATTTAGAGTAAGGGTTATTCTCGTCCAGGGCGGTTTCAGTGCTCGTTCAAACTCGTGCAGCCTGCTGTGACGTTAAGATATCTTCTTCTCAACCCGGCAATCTGGTGCAAGGCTGAATCGGTTTCCACGACATCTCACCCGTATGCCACCCGTTACATGTGACATACAGAGAAGTGATATCCGTGAAAGCTTTTCTAGTAAGCTCCAGCTCTAGTTTGTAGATGGGCGTTGGCCTCATGGTTAGTGCGCTCGTCTCCGGATCGAGCGGTCCGGGTTCGAGCCCTGACCGGGGACACTGTGTTGTGTTCTTGGGCAACCTCACAACGCCTGTCTCCTCCCAGGTGTATAAATGGGTACGCACTACCGGCGAGTTAAATGCTGGGGGTAACCCTGCGATGGACTACATGTAGCATCCCATGTAGGGAGGAGTAAAAATACTCCTAGTCGCTTCATACTACCGGCCTGATGGGCCACTTGGCTTGTCTTCACAATTTGCCTTTACCAGCGCTAATTTATAGTTTGTTGCGTTTTTCTCTCCTTTTCCAAGGCTGAATTATTTTACAAAAAGAACCCAAAGATGCTGAACCAATTTCAATTCTGCGAAGAAAATGGAGTTCCTTTCTGTGTTGTCATTGGCGAAAGTGAGATTGAGAAAGGTGTTGTAACTCTTAGAGAAATGAGCTCCAGAACAGAGGTAACATAACCACACAATGCTGGTCTTTTGTTTGTTGTTGTTTTTATAGTGGTCAATGCGCTTAGCTACACCTAGCTAGTTCTCATTCACTTAGACTGAAACAAAGAAATATTTTAAGTAAGCATAATAGGCTTAAGAATCTCATCTGGCGGGAGGCAGACCAGTTGGCTATTTACAAGCATGACCGAGGAGTTGAACTGGGGTCTACCAAGAAACAGCGCCAGCTAAGTAGACTTGAACCCGGAACCCGCGACCTCTGGATTTCAAGTCCGGTGCCTTCACCACTCGGCCACGCTGCCTCGTCCTGTTTCTTGTCAACCTGGTGAATTATATATGCATCTCTTTTTCTGTCTACACAATTGCGATTTTTCATTTGCTTTTGTATTTTTGTCTTCCAGGAACCGATAAAACGGGCAGAACTGTGCGACGAAATCAAGAGACGGTGTGCAGAGCTTGAAACACAATCAGAATGAAATTTATAACCCACTGATAAAAACAGAAGAAATTTGACGCCATGGCTTGTTCCCAGTCATCTCTCAAGAAACGCGGGTGTAATTTGTCTCATAAGACTTAAGAGTAAACTAGTGACGAGTCCGTTTTACCCCCGTCCCTGTCCTCTCTTGTAAACACTTCATGACGCGGGTACAATTTTCTCACAGTAACAGACGACTGGAGACATCTCGGCTGGACGCCTGTGTTCGACGAGTTGAAGAAGAAAACTATAGATACAAACGAGACCTGCAATTTTCAATTGAATAAACTACATTCTGTTGTTAAGACTGAACCAAAGATGTATCGTAACGCACAGTGTTCCCCCCCCAAAAAAAATAGTTCAAACCTGATTCGCTGGGTTCTGACGATCTTTCGGTGCGAAGTCCAGTAATATAAAATAGACGGTGCTTTTATCCAGATAGGATTTTCAACAGGAGGGCCTTGAGCTGCATTTGGCATATAGTTAGATTTGCTTGTATTCTCCTATGGGGAAATAAAATTGATCGCTGTCTAAAGTATCGTACGAAGGCCTTGTAAGAGGACCTTTTTCTCCATTTGGATGTCCGGTCTAGCAGTCCACCATCCAAACGTTTTTGCTCCCTCTGTCAATACAGAGCAAAAGCAAACCACGACGGCAACGGTGACGAAAACGCCACCAAACAAAAGGTTCAATGAGTAGACCAATGGCTTCGCACGAACGTTAAAAATCTTTGTTGATTTCTTTGCCGTTCTCTGCTCAACAACAACGTGAAATGACCAAATTCTGCGTATTTTGGAGAACGCGAACGACAGCGGCTATTTTTAGTATTTTGGTAAATTCAAACTAAAAATAGATCGGTCTGTGAAAACGCCGTGACAGGAATATGGAGTAGTTGCACGCTGCGAGTGATGGGCTCCAGCATCTCCACAAATATCACATAAAATTCTCAAAAAATCCTTTAAATGCCACAAAACGGTTTCTAAACATCTCGGAAAACCCTCCAAATATCTCTTTTTCTTTTTTTCTTGTAAAAATACACCGATTTTGAATCACTTAGGCCAAAATTAGTTGTAATGGTAGGAGTTCAGGGGCTTCGATGTTACCATACAGCATCTGCCATTTTGGAAAATTGCTGCTTTAGCGCTTTTAGTGATAAGGAATACATTTTTCAAGTGGGAAATCACTGAACTGGATCGTGTCTGGCATAGAACTGAGCATTGTTTCAAAGAAATAGCGAGGAAAACACAGGGGCTAAACCAAGAAAAGCTATAAATATCCTCAAACTTTCTAAATCTCTTAATATTTTTTAAATATCTCGGAAACTTCTAAATATCTCAAAAAAATTTCCGGATATTTGTGGAAAGGCCCACCCCAGCGCAACCCAGCGCGGACAAAACAACTGTGTACAGTCTAGTAACTATTACAATGATTGCGAACACACTGTGGATACCCAAACTCTAAAACCAGAAAAATTTTCCTTAACCCAGAGCTACAGGCGATATTATTCGACAAAATTAATTTTCAGTCTCGTGATAAAATAATTCAGGACCCAGCTGAGTGTCTAGATGACAACTCGGACATGCGCCCATTTGAGGTGTCTGCGCTGAGTGCAAATCATTTTCTTCTCTTGAATGTTGCGCTGTTAAAGTGATTTGAAGCCAATCAATATTGTCTGTTCCAAAGGCTAATATTTACCCTGCTCAAAAATGATTGGTGAGATCACAAACAAACTCAAACTCTTATCGTTAAAATCGTGCTCTGATTGGTTGAAAACTTTTTAAGTGGCCAGGTTGAAGTCGTTGCACATTAAAAGTCTTTCACAGTAATTGTGTTGGCAGGATATGCTGATATTGTTTTTCTATCTTCACCTTTTAACGTGACGGGACGTCAAAATTAAGCAATTTGTTAAACTGCCTTCTCTGTCGTGTTTAGTTGTTTTGATGTGAATGATAAGGGTCAAAGAACGAAATAAAAATGGGGCCCTTTCATAACACCTGCTGACAGTCTTCTGGCTCTCACACGCTCCTTCTCAACGAGGCTTGCCATAGAAGTGTGCAAAACCTGTAATGAAATATAGAAGGAGTACTAAACATTTTAAGTCGTTTTCTTGTGGGTTTCACTTGTCGACAAAAGATTTGCCCGCGTACATCTTAGCCGTAATGTAAAAACAAGAAGATCTCGTCCAACTTTCGGCCACTAAGCGGATCCGAATGCCTCTTCGACCTTGGAAAGTGGTATGATAAAGTGGTAAAAGAACGTCGCGCCTAGTATTATCCGCGACGTTTACGATTCGGAAACGTTTAGATCTCGAAATGAGAAACAAACTCGTGAAATTCGTGAGAGAACAAAAAGTTGAGTACTTATGAAATGTAAATTTTTCCATTAAGGTGTAAAACACGAGCGCCTCGACGAAGACTTGTCCAATAAGACTCTGGCGAAAATGCAAATAGCATTATCTCTAATATCAGGGCCCTTCGGCAATCATGAATAGTTATTTTTGTGGACAACCGGCTAGGAAATTATTCGGGGAGGAAATCAACATGCGCGTGCAAACATCTGCCATCTGACTGACACACGTTTGCCGCTTTGTTTTAAACCTTTAGTTGGCTTTTCTGTGCTTGGGTTTGGGAAATGGGAACTGGAGGAAAGGACAAAGATAGTGAATCGGCCCAACTCGTGGGTGGCCAAGACGTCGAATCGGGTCAAGAGGAAGATTCGGGCGAAAAGAGTAAAGAGACGAAGGGTTGTGGAGCGAAGTGTTTCGCTTGTTTTCGTTGTTGCTTTGGGTTCATCCTATTTCCATTTGTCTTTCTCCTCACACTTATTGCTTGTCTTGTGTGGCTCATACTGCTTCCAGGTATGTTAAAATGACCTGACCTTTTGGGATTGTCTTGAATAGCCACTCTACTCCGTTTTGAAATCTAATATCTAAAGCTTAACGCCCTAAAAAGTAAACGCAGTACCGCCTTCTCTTGAAGTGTTTTACGGGCCCAGTTGAAATCACGTCTTTTTTAATGTTTTTTATTTCAAGTTAATTTGAAGGTGTTTCGTAGATGTATAGCTTTACAATCTTCGCTAGAAATCACTTGTCGTTTTTTAGGCGGTCAACAAGAAGTTCTGTGGTTGAGTACAAAAGAGTCGCTCCCTATTATATAGACAACGGCTATGGCGAGGACAACTGCGGGTGAAACGCCTTATGAACTAATCTATAGTTTACCTTTAAAATTCGCTAGAATCTAGATCTGATCGCGATCGATCGATCAGAGCGCCCATCAATGGAAAAACTTGCACAAGCTATTAAAATATGTATCAAACGTGTTCAATTGTTAGTAGAGGTCGTGGTTAATTTTGTGCAAAATAGAACAATAAGATAGCATGACTAAGAATATATGGCTAACTAATAAGAATTTGGTCCTTTTTCGTTGAATATATTTGGTTTCAAGAAGAAGGCTAAGAAGTCTAAAAGAAGTCTAAGAGGTACCAAGATCAGTATAATAAGCGTTCGTCAAATCGTTTGTCTGGCCTCGTTCGTTCCTCGGCGTTACCGCTGGCGTTGTGGTCTGCTAAAGCTCTTTATTATTTAAGCGTAGTATTAAAAGTTTTATTGTTCCCTAGAAAACGCCTGCCTTTAATAATTAAGTCTTCAAAATTATCTTTGCTGATACCCTACAGGCATAAAAAGATCTTTTACTGAAAATGTTTATATTTTGAATTCGATCAGAGTATTCAGTCTCGACTGAATGAAATCAGCTGCAAACCCACCGAATTCAAATAAGCCATCAAAAGATAAGGTCCTTTTCAGTCAGTCACTTTATTTCTAATTTACATATTAACTGTCCTTCTTCGTTTTCAGCCAAGTGCTGTTCTCCCTGTTGCGCTCCACTGTTTGACTGGATCGTTCAACTGTTGATGTTACCGGTTCGTTTTTATCGCTGGGTATTGGGGAAAGAACAAGGCGAAGAATAAGATGATATTGAAGAAGCTCTATTAAATTTAACACCTTCTGTTTACAATGACTCGCACAGCTTCCAGGTGCTGGCTGTCTTCGAACAATAAATATATTTTAAACTTTAAAATGGCTTTTATAACTAGATCATTATTCCGCAAGATTAGTAAATGAGACTGACGTTTGAAAATTCGGTAGCTATTCTAATATTGTGAGGTTGATGTTGTGTGCTTTGTTCCTGACATCTCTTCAGCGGTAGAGAATCGTTTCTAGGATGAGGTGATATATCATTTAATTTTCAAACACGAGACGATTATGCCTTTTGATTATTATAAATAATGTTGATCAGCTTCCGTTCCCAGTCTTATTATCAAGATGAGACTAAAAGAAAAAGAACGGCCTGGGAACGAGTTACACGAGGGGTTAAACAACTGTGGAATCGCAATGAGGGCCCTGTGCACACTACGTTGGAGGAATTTGAAAACGCAGCTTTATTTCTATGGTTAGACCTACCGTCCACACTAATCCGACGCGAAAACGGAGCTTTACGAAAACGCTCTTTAAACTGGTGCAATTTATATTTGAAAACGCCGGCTTTTCGTTTTCGTGCGGACAGAAAACATTTTGAAAACGGAGCTTTTCGAAAACGATGACGTCACGATAACCATGTGATTTCCCTGACCGAGTTTTCCTGGAACACAAATCCAATATCATGATGACCAGTGACAACCTCGTCCCCAGGGCGTTTCCTTTATGTTGGACCGGTGATTGTTGCGCTTCAAATTCCTCAGGCGTAGTGTGGACGGAAAACATTTGATGCGTTTTCGGAGTGAAACCTCCGTTTTAAAATTCCTCCGGNTCATCATGCATGAAGTTGATGCATACAAGGACAGATTTTAAGTGACACCACGATTTGACACTACTTTGAGAAATAACAGTTAATTTAAGTCTTGAAACGTGTAGATAGATGAATCACGGCGTTAAATATGTCACTATCAACAGAATGTGCCGCAGCATTACTATCTTTTAGATACCCTAGTTACTAGTTACTTTCACACACACAGTTTTAAGAGATGGCAAAAAATTGTCTGGCCTTTTGCCAACTCGATGATTTGCCACTCACCAGCCATTTTGTCTTCAGGTTGGCTGATTTACTGGCATTTAAGGACATGACATTCCTTTATTATTACTTTTTTTCAGGCGACCATGTCATCCCTCTTTACATTCCTCAGTGTGGAGAATGCAAGTTCTGCAAAAGCCCAAAAACCAATCTTTGCAGTAAAATAAGGTAATTGTCCTGGTGTGGTTTGAATATTTATTTTACATTTGTCCTACTAATTGTAATCAGTTTGAAAAATTTTGAACAAAAATAATCAAAACCACAGCATAAATATCTACAACATGTTGGCTAAAAATGCAATGCAACTGTTAAACACAAATTGGTGTTTGTTAATTGTTAACACAAACTGGTGTTTTCATCGTCCTATCGCCAAAAACCTGGTTTGCATGATCTGACCATTGTTGAGGAGATTGTTACCTGTTCTTCAACTGCGAAAAACATTGGAGTTCATGTACTTGATGAGTTTATGTCCATGGTTCCTCATATTACTGCCGTGTGCAAATCTGCATTCTTCCACTTGTGCAACATATCCACAATTAGGAAGTTTTTTACGACTGAAACTACTAAAACTCTGCTACATGCCTTTGTAACTTCAAAGATTGATAATTGCAACTCTTTGCTATATGGTGCTCCTAAATATTTGTTACGAAGGCTCCAGTGAGTGTTGAATTGGGCTGCAAGAATAGTGTACCAGGCTAAAAAGTATGAACACGTAACCTGTCCTCATGGAACTACCCATTGGCTACCCACTGAGCAGAGGATAAACTTAAAAATTCTACTGATTACATTTAAAGTGCTACACAACCAAGCTTCTACATATCTAATTGACTTACTTACTCATTATCATACCTTGAGATTACTTTATTCATCTGCGAAAAACTTGCTTTGGAATCCAACCTATAATCTTCAAACTTACGATGGGCGTTCTTTTGCTGTTGTTACGCCTTTGCTGTGGAATCCTCTACTTCAATCTGTCAAAGATTCTATATTAGTTGACACTTTTAAGGTTAACGTAGACTCGAAAAAGCATCTTTTCTTGAGTGCTTACAACAGATGCTGATTTTCTATTGTTTTACAATGGTTTTTACAGTTTTTGAATTTAGTCAATTTTAGATAGTTTTGGTAGGGTTTTAAATAAGTTTTTGTGAATTTTTAAATCTGTATTTGAGCACTGTTGAACCACTGGGAAACAGCACTATATAAATGTATTATTATTATTATATTGTTATTACTATTACTATTATTATCATCATCATCATCATCATCATCATCATCATCATTATTATTTTTATTAATTCAGACCTGTCTTGCCTTGAATTGTCTTGCCTTTCTTGTGCCAGACAAGTTGTTTGTGTGGTTCAGTCCTGTACATTAAGAACAAGCTGTTGTGATCAATTGCTGACTGGTGAAACCCCTTCAGAAATGCAATAAAGATGAAAATGCGATCGCCTCTAGTGACAAACAAATTATAATGGGCAAATCTTCACAGAGATTGCGCAACTTCCTACACCTGGGATCAATAATTGAAGAGGTATTCCCTAACTCGTCAAATGCGGAGTTATATCGGCAGCTTTGTGAGGAATGTCCGCATTTAATTTGCTTCCTGGCCGCTGTTTGCAAGTCTGGTCAACTGAAATCGGTGGAAAAAGGTGTTCTCTATGGACCAAACACGTTGAAAAACCTGAAACAAGAAATGCTCTTTGTGCTGCTGCCTATATTTGCCTTAATAAGTACAACCAGAAGCTCAGCACCAGCTCACTACAGAAATGGTTTGTTGTTGTTGCACGGCAGCGTGAAAGCGGCGACATTGCAAAGGTGTCATCACAGGCCTAAACGTGTTGACCTGGTCTTTCATTGCATATAGATACTTAAGGCGTTACAACCAAGACGCAAGCATGTTCTAGTTTCCATAAAGTCTTCAGTAGACGTTGCAGCAATAATTGACAAATTAGACTCTTCCTGAAACCAGGCGATAGAATTCCCAAATCATCTCGCTTCTACGCCACAGTTTCCAGGCATAGCTTCTGCTCATGTTTCAAACCAGAGATATGAAGAAAATGTTGAATTGCTCAAAGCTGTCTTTAATTCCACGTCCGTAAACTGTGCATTGTACGCAGATGCCATCTTTGTAGGTCTCAGCAAAAATTATACAAATTTACAAGCCATTGTCAAGATCTGTGTAAAATCCATCAACAGTCATCAATTCAACCAATCAGATCTTTATACCAGGAGCTGGTATCATAGAACGGCAGCATCAATACAATGTCTATAGGCTCCCATGCACTCTCTCTCGTCACCAGACCGCTCTCAGCTAGCCCCAATCACCCTAGACCACACTTGGCCAGCTCGCATCAAACCGAACCGGGAGCCTGTTCGTAGGCTACAGTGACCAGTTGTAAAAAATACAGCAAGTAACTATATGTGGAACTTCTTGCAAGCGACAAGTTCTCATAGATGCCTGCAACCACTTTTAAAGCTAAAAGTTTGACATTTTCTTTTGTTTTTAATCTCCCGTAAGCGACCATTTGGCAGATAATAGAGCCCAAATTGGATAATAAGGTGTTGTACATTATTGCATTCCTGGGTAGTACAAGAGATGAAACTTCTTCAATATGGGAAGTACTGGATTTTTTTTCTCGAAATTGATGTTACACACGAACAAAACATTTTACAATGTTACCCATGTTTAATAAAACCACAGTAAACACACTGCACTTCAAAACAATGTGCTTGTCGCTGAACAAAGTCATACATCGATTTTACTACGTTTTTTAACGTTCTCTCCTCTTGTCAACTGCCGTGGATGTAAGTACTCTACGTCACATGTCATGCATCATGAACTTCATGTTTACACCCGAACAAAAAATGGGGTAGGCCTGTGCAGTTACCATATACTAATGAGGCTAAAATTAGGCCCAATATGGTTTAAGCTTCTGTAAGCAACCACCTAGGCTTGACATTTTGAATGGTTGCTTAAAAGCGTCTTCTAGGCATTCAGTTAGTTGGTGCGCAGTGCGAAAAAATGGCGAGCAAAAAAATAGGGAGAAGCGTGGCAAGAGAAAGCAAAGGAACGTCTGTGGGCAAACTTAACAAAAGCTCCCTCTGCCCACTTATGGACCACCTACAGGGGCCCGTAACAAGACTGCCAGCTTCTGGTTTTCAGTTATCAACAATATAGAATGCAACTTTGCTACATGTCCATGGATTATTTCAAACTTTGTCACTCTAAAGGCAATATGTAGAGACTTTCAAACATATCTTGAAACAGAAATGAGCCTATTAAACAAAGTATAAGCACATGGCAAATTACTGAGGTGTCAAAATCTGCGAAGCGAAAGGTCAAAAGACTGAAAAGAGAACTGCAAATGTACAAATTTCACGAACCGTAGGAGTCATGTAGGCCCGTCACCCCATTTTTCACACTTTCAGTTCTTTGTGGCTCTTTCCTCCATGTCTTCCTCAATACCCATTGCTGTTGCAACAACTCCAATTTTGTTTATCTGTCTACTTGGTCTTTCATTATGGCCATGTAAGGAGAAACACCACGTCACTCATTGAAAGGTCTCTGACTGCTGCCACATCACATTTCTCATCCATGTCAGTAACATTCCAGTGTTGAAAAACCTGTCAACATTGACCAATCAGAGGGTATACGAGATCCTGGTATACAAAAACGACCTTTTGTTAAGTTTGCCCAGAGGTGTTTTTCGTTTTCTCCTGCCATGCTTCTCCCTAGCTTTCTGCTTGCCGTTTTGTGCACTGCACCCCAACTAACTGAACGCCTGTAAGAGGCTAGTCACTTATAGGAGGTTCAACTGTATTTATTTACAACACAGTTTTTATTCCCCTGAATATGCCTTTCCACTCATTCACTATCTGCTACCTCCAATCCCCACTATCTGGAACTATGTTGTGTTTCCCTTGAGATTTGCGAGAGTGGGGTTCCACTGTTAGTACCTCCCACTTGAAAAGCCGATAATTACCGAGTGTCAATAAACATTGTATGATATTGCAAAACAATGTGGAAATGGAGCACAGGTATTCAGCAGCTTGAAATACAGAAAAGCAGTAAATTATTACAGGCTGACCAGAAAAACACCTTCTCTGGACCTTTTACTTTATTATGAACAATGTGTGTTATAAGTATAAGAGTTAGTGTACATTAGGGCATAACAAATTGATAATTTTGATAGTCAATAAAAGTCAATAAAAATCAATAAAATTGATAATTTGTGACCCTATTTGTGAAAACCTGCCATAAGAAAAGTCAACACAAATGTGTTTTCCCTTACAACTCATGGTTAATGCGTTATAAATGCAGTGCATTTCATTGTCAACACATTGTGCATGAGTTCAACCCATTGTGGATCGCTGTCAGCGCATTGTGTTTCGTCGAACCGTTGTGGATCACTGCCAATGCATTGTGTTTCGTAGTCAGTGCATCGCTTCAAGCTTTTGATTTCATTATTTTAAAACAAATTAAGAACAAATGCACAGAAAAATTGAGCAAAATGCAAAAATCGCGGCCATGGTCAAAAATGAAACCAATCTTAATTTTCAATTTGTAACGAGGTATTAACGAGTTTTCAAAGGTTTTGGGGGTTACTTTATCAAAATGCGGGTGGATTTTCGAATTATTTGAGAAAATTGATTTTAACACTCTCATTGGTGAAAAATAGCAGAATAATTAGCATAAACTGGCATGGCATAAATGTCTTTATGTAAGTAGTAAAGCCTATATCATTGCGAAGAATGGAACTAATTTGAAAGGAGGAGTATTTGACACTTTATTTATGCCTACTGTACTTGTTGGTTCTAGGTCATGCTCCTTGCTACGACAAAACACATTCTTTGATAAGGTTTCACCACAGTCCCGGCAAATCGAGTTTCACCTCATAATTACAAACCAACAATTCGATTTGTGGCCATTGTTCAATCGGGCTTGTTTTTTGGTTATAATGTGTCTAAATGTTCTCCTTATACATCATATAAAAATTAGTCTGGGGTTTTATGCGAGCGCTTTATAAAACACCTTCAAAAATTGAGTAGTTTCACTAAAGTTTGAACTAATTAGCATATTCCCGACACTTGACACGTAAGTGAAACACGCAGGTTTTGAAGAAATTGTTGCACTAACTCTGCTTCACACTTTAACATGGATGACTTACTTTTACATGCTGTCCGGCTATTCTCCATTTTATGCTGAGGTCCAGATCTTGTTAAGGAAAGTAACGTAGTCCATTTGGTCAAGGGTCACGACTTAAAGTCACGGTAACGTCAGTCCGTGACGCTCAGGCTTCTGGGCAGCTCTATTGTTAACACACATGAAGCACACCGATGGAAATGAAATTTTCAAGATCAGGAAATGCATTCTAGTACCAAAACAAATTTTATTTCATCTATCCCTACAATTTGCGGCCACTCAGGAAACTCAGATTAAAAAAGTTGGATTTGATGTGTTGTATCCCCTGACGCTGGCTATTTCAATGGCAGCTATTATCCCCGGCTATTATGATGTGTGGACGTAAGTTTATACAAGATCATAATCTCTTGGTTAATGTCGTTAAGGGCTTTAATATAACTGGAACATCATTTCGTTCATATTAAAATGGGCCTTTGCTCGGGAGCTTTTTTAGGGTGAAGGGAGTGGAGCTTGTCAATGGCAGTTTACTGTACCCTTTCTATGTTACTTGTATTTTGCAATCCCAGAGTGACCGTGCCATCATTTTGCTTAATAGATAAATACAAAAATTCTTCACATGATACAATTATCACATTACAAAGTGAGAAAGTATTTCATGGTGGACAGCAGCTACACTTTTTCCAAAAATCTTTAATTTGACTTGGGTAGACTTGTGTCTTGAAATATCTCGACTACAGCAAAGCAAAGACCCATTTCTACTGAGTCTGGCAGTGATTGATATCTTTCGTATCGGAACCGCAATGACCGCCAACAATGGTAAGAAATGAACACGCCTTGCTGGCCATGATGCTTATAAGATGGATTGTTCAATTACGCCAAAAATAGATCCCTTTGTCAAGAGTTGTCAATTTCACTTCTCTTTTTCTATGCCAAGAGCGTCACGTATTGTAATGACAGAGGGGGGACATTTCAGTAGATTAGAAACTCTTGAAATAGCATTCTTTTCAGATTCAGGAAATGAGTAATAGTCTAATACTGAGGAAAATAATCAGCACATAATTATTGAGCTGTTTCTTTTCTGAGCAAGATCGCTATTAAACACCAAGGCGAACCTGGAGCAAGGTCCATCCACTCCTCCCCCCCTGAAAAAGAAATTTTTGGTTCTAGCATTCAAAACATCTGTTTCTTTTAAAACATCAGGAATTTAAGTGATTATTGTATAGAGCAAACAGTAGTATAAGGGGAATTAACTAAATACCGTTTTGCATCAGGGGGGCTTATTGACCCGTTTGGCAGTGCCACACCCCACACCGAAATCCAACCAAAAAGTCGAACCAAGCCCCCCACCACCAACATAACGAGACCCACCCACACCAGGGCAACAAAACCTCCCAACAAACGAAACAAAGTTTGGGTTATAGGCAAAAGTTGCCGTGTGTTGGTGCGGGTGGTTGATGGTGGGTGTGGTATGTGTTCTGGTGAGTTGGTGGGTGTGGGGTGTGGCCCTGCCAAACGGGTCAATGCGCCCCCCTGATTGAAACAGTATTTAGTTAATTCCCCTTATACTACTCAAGACACATGAAACGCCACGCAGCGCAAAGCCGCACAAGCCGTGCAGCGCAAAGCCAGACAAGCCGTGNCTGTTGCAATAATATAGTACTTTTTCATTGTGATCAGAAACTATTTCATTTGATCATCAATCATTCCAATAAAAGCATATTTGAATCAACATTAGGTATGTAGTTCTTTCACTGAACGGGACTTCAATTTACTTGGTGGTTCAAGGAAAATGTTATTAATAGTACAGTTGGATAATAATAAGATTATCATTTATTATTAATTAATTATTAATTTATGCATATATTTTGGCGACTAAAATTTTTCACTGACGACCAAACCTGAACAGTCAGTGGCCAAATGGCCACTAAGGAAAAAAGTTAACTTGGAGGGTTGCCACGGAATCGCCTTTAGGCGTCTTGTTTCTGAGAGGTTTACGGATATTTTCATGAACTTTATACAATCAATGGTTTCATAGATGAGCATTCATTTTAGGTTCAAGGAATGATCTTTTATTATAGTTCAGGAAATATTATATAGACCCTTTTCATAAATGGCTGCCAATTTAAAATTCTTTTGTATGCATTTGAATTAGTCTCACTAAACTCATTTGGGAGTAAACTTCTTTTGAATTATCAACTCAAAATTGGGGTTAGCTTATAGTCAGGCTAATTTTAATGCTTACAAAAGAATTTTTAATTTGCAGCCATTTATGAAAAGGGTCTATATCTGTGTATGTAGAATGATGTTTGAAGTTTGGTTGAATTGAATTCACCTAGGGCACAACGGGTTATTGTGGTTAATGATTATCATAGTCTTTTGTTTGAATATTTTCAGAGTAACACAAGGTAAAGGTGTAATGCCTGATGGCACGTCACGTTTTTCATGTAAGGGAAAGACTCTATACCATTTCATGGGCACTAGCACATTCAGTGAGTACACTGTTGTGGCTGAGATATCCATTGCAAAGGTAAGCATCAACTTGCTAACTTATCATTAAAAATTAAAAATTCTGACACTAAGGCCCCCAAAAGAAAACATGCTCTCCTGTACATAAGCCCCCTTCCAAAGATGAGAAACTAATTAATTTCCTTCCAGTTATTTCAGAGTTATCATGTTTTTTTAGCTGTGAAGGAAACAAGATTTTTTATCAATGTGTGGATCCAGAAAATATCCATACCCCCCACGGAGGATTTTTCCCAGTATGATCCCCACCCCCCAGGATTTTCCGTTCCAGGGGGCTTCACGGTACTTCCCCCAACCCCTGGAATTTCCATGATTTTTCTACTTAGCCCCCCCCCCGAACCCCTCAGAAATTCCATATCCATAAAAAACAAGACTTAAGAGTCACTGACTGAAAATATCAAGAATGGCTGGCCAGGTTGGAAAAATCGAAAATCCTGAAACTTTGCCTAAAGAACGCTTTTAGGGAGCCACTTTCGAAAATATTATTCCAATTTTCTTAGAATTTAAAGTCTTTGAGAAATTCGCAAAAAACAAAAATATAGCTTTTTGCCTCATTAAATATGCAAAAAAAATCTCTGGAAAATTGACAAAGTTCTCGGTATTCGCATTGAAATAATTTACAAAACTAGAACTCGGGGTAAACTTAGCATAAGAGCTTTACTTTTCTTCTATCTAACAATAGGANACTTCACTCCTTAGGTTGTCATATTGCAGTCGACTTTCTCCGGAAAGTGCTATGCTGGTTTAATGAAAAGGAAAACTCTTCCATCACATTAAACTCAAAAGAAATACTCTTCGGAACAGCTACTGATAATGATACTAAAATAAAAAAAAACAAAATTTCTGTCTCCTTTATGCCAAATTCTACTTTCATTTGCAGAAAATCAACCAACGTGCATGTAATTGGGATGTTTTTGTCCGGAAACTAAATTTTATGTTGAAAATAGAAGGTTTCACTTAGTTCAATTTGTCCTCTACTTCACAAAAACTTCACAAAATTTTTATCTTAGCAATTACCTTAATTGAATAGAATATATCCTGTAGAAATCAGTTGTAATTATATAGTAGTATTATTAGTACAGTAGTTACCCAAAAGTGTTGTATGTAGCATTATGTTAATGTTGAAAAAAATGTATTGTAGGTAAGTTTATCGTAAGTATTGTATTTAAGTAGTTTATTGTAATTAACATGTTATAGGTATATTTATTGTAATTAAAAAAAAGGAGCTCGACGCCCGTTCACAGAACCATTTTGCATTCAGATCTTTACCCACTCTTGTCTGTTTAACCATATCGTCCAGTACCTTGACCACATGCAGACCACTCTATGTGTTAGTGGTTTACATAATTATGAAACAAACAGAATCTATGAGGGTTATGAATAAAGCTCTGAAAACTGAAAAAAGGGTTGTTCTATTGAATTTATTGGTTATCGGATGCTGCAACACAAGCAAAATGACTGCACAGTCTTATTCACAAGGCATCAATCAACAAAAGTGTGTCAGGCTTTTTCGATATTCTGATCGATTGTCAAGATATTTGCATCTAAAATTAGAGTAGCTAAAAATATACAAGATTTGTTGCATAAATGAAAGCCACTGGACAAACATGCAAAATATCAAAGTTTCCCAACACACTTTCTTTTGTCATTTTCCTTGGAATATTTTGGCCAAATTTCACGAAAATCTCTCAATTCTGCATACCCTAATATATAGATTTAGCCAAGCCTAGAAGTGGAGCTCCTGATTGCAATAACTGACCCTAAAGGAAAAAGATAATTATTTTTTCTTGGATCAGAAACTCAAAAAATGATCAATTGTGAGCATGTAATTGTTCAGCGTGTGGTTTTGCTATTTTTTCCAGTTAAATTTTAACAAACTATACACAATAAGTGTAACCAAGATTGTAGAAATTACATACACAATATATCAGGGATTTTCCAAGAGACAATTGTGCAAGGAATATGTCAGAAGAAAAGTCAACAATGCGTCAGGGGTTAATTTGTGCTGAAATTTTGCCTTTGTGCATACTCCCTCCTCCCCTAGAGAAATAACCTGGCCTGAGCCTGTGATACAATTGAAAAAAAACAGTAACTGGTCAGCAGTCAATTTCAAAAACACACAACTTTGATGAGCCCGCGATATAGTCATGTGATACTGGTCAGTGGATAGCTTGTGACAGCTGTCAATTAACCATAACACGGATGCCCCAAATCAAAGATATAGCTATGGTAATGGTGCTACTCTCTTAGTTTTCAAGGTATTTGCAAATGGACGGACAGACATACAGACATATGGACGGACAATCACGTGACAACCAAAGTCTTTCAGATCGATGGATTACCAAATTTTCTGAGGTATGGGGCTCCACTCAGGCACGCAGGAGCTCCGCTATAAATTCAATCAAGTAAACCATATTGTGCAATATTCTTCCTACTTAAAAGTTGGAACAACTTGTCTATGTTGATACCAGAGATTCAAAAAAATATACCGGTATGTTACATAGTTCACCTATTTCTTCACCTTTATCTTTCCAGTGATTGCGTTCTCACTTGTTGCAATTCAACTCCCTGATACTTACATTTAAAAACAAAAATCTCCAACCAAATGGAATAAAACTATGCATAAGCCCACAAGTTCCCATTGCGGACCTATTTTTTATAGGTATTCATCTCTAGTAGTATTTTTTTGACAGTATCTAAGGGTTACCACATGTTTTTGCTTTCATTTATTAGGTAGCAGAAAGTGCCCCTCTTGACAAGGTGTGTCTGCTTGGTTGTGGTATTTCAACAGGATATGGTGCTCCCTTGAATACTGCTAAGGTAGGAGTAAATGGTGCATGGAAATTAGAGCAAGGAAGACAGGACACCTTTATCTTAACACCAACTTTCCAGGATGTGTCAGGCAATGTCTGTTTCGCTATCTTCAATGTTGAGAAATACCTTGTGGAACATCAATTTGTGTGATGTATAGCTTCCATCTTGTCCTGCTCTGGGCTGTTTCAGTGGCTGCCCATGTCATACTGTTTTCCCCGTTGTTTGGAACTGGAAAGTTTCTTCATCCTTTAACACTTCCTGTACAGTTATGTTTTACTCTTACTCCCTATTCCTGGGGCAGTCATTACATTTATCAGGTTTGTGTTGTCGGCATTGACTTTGATTCCTGCTCTCCTTCTTTTCTTTAAAGTTGCTGCTCTTCTTAGGAGACTAACAATTAACATGACATTAATTATAATCCATCAAATAGTTTGGCTCATGCAGGATTGGTCTAAATGCCACACATGACAGAATATTCCCAGCTAAAACCTTGGAATATCCGAGAATATTCCCCAATTTTCAAAACTGCGCATGTTGCAAAAAATACTTGAATGATAATAAACACAATAGCCTCCAATTGGCGCAAAAATATGCTTGGATATTTGTCCTTTCACATTATCTGTTCCTTAAAGCTCATAGTTTTCCTCAAGCTACGCTCTCGGAAAAGTGCTCCAAGAAGCGGACAAATATCCGAGCATATTTTTGCGCCAAATGGAGGCTATTGTTTACATATTATATTCAAGAAGCTATATGTGACTGTCAACTTAAGTAACAAAAATTGCAAAAACAGTAAATACTCTGCACAACATATATTGTACATTCTCTAAGGGTTGATTTAAAGATGTGGAGTTGTATGCAGTTAATTAGGAGTTCAAATATGAGTTTACAAATGTTGGGAAGTTAAGGAAGTTTCAGATGTTGCAGCTCTAACATTAATTTGAACATTTGCCCTCATTATGGTTATCCTTAGGTTAAAATATACTTAACCCTCTGACCCAGTCCTATCCAGGTGAATAACAGCCACCTTGAAAGTAATGGTATCTGTTACAGTATAGAGATCATATCTAGTCAGTAGTTTGTACTGCTTAGGATCTGGTTGCTCAGTTAGCAGGATTAAGTTAATCCAGGACTAACATGAATTTTAATTTCAGTTTTAGAACTATTCAGTATAATTTTCTGCATATATTTTTCTGTTGTCCATTTCCTGCTGATCTAAAACTCCACAAAATACTAACAATGCAAAGCACTCTTTCACAAGAGGAATTAAAAGCTTGATATTGAACTTTTGATCCTTTTGATCTTGGATGTAAAAAAAAAACCTGGGCCTCCAGTTGCTTCATAGGACAAGCTGCTTAAACAAACCAAAAACAGGCCGGTACTTTAAATTTGTCTTGGCAGTTGATGAAAATCTACCTGTGGTTGCCTCTACATGGAATCTTGAAAGGTAGTTGTCAAAATTGACTTTCAAAATTAATTTGTTTTGTTAGGTGGAGCCTGGATCTACCACAGCAGTGTGGGGACTGGGTGCTGTTGGGTTGGCTGTAGCAATGGGCTGTAAGGCTGCTGGTGCCTCAAGGATTATTGGGATTGATATTAATCCTGATAAATTTCCTGTAGGTAAGCTTTGATTAAGCAGGTGAGCTACATGTGCAATGAAATGTCTGAGCACTTAACTGCAGGGGTTGACACTAACTTTTTACACCACTTTCCACTTTGGAAAGTAGATTTCAAATTTTACTTTCCATCTCAAAATTCTATTCTGTCACCTCATTGAGGACTTACATGAGATAGCATTGCGCCTGTGCAAACTCAGGGTGTTGCTGCCGTTCTGAGCAAACAAAAGTTTTCGCTGCAGAGTGAGTGTAGGGAGCGAGCAGCAACATAATCAGGATTTAAGAAGAATATGTAGAAGGGGGTACGAATTCTCAAGTACATCACTTTTTACCAGAATGCATGGCATTTAACCAGAGTATACAGCGCCACTTTTTACCAGAGTGCATTGCGGCATAAACAACACGAGGATGTCACACCCTTGAGCCATCATCCTTTTTCGCATGGATTCCAGTGAGAAAGGTTAGTGGTTATGTTTTACTCTGATTTACCTCTAAAACAATGTGAAGGAGATTGTGCTTGACATTAACAACTCTTGCTTTTGTTCTTAATGCAGTATGTGAAAGTTTGTAAATCTGGACAATTAATTGTGACATTTTAATTTTAAACTTAGTATGTCATTTCTTAGCAGTTTCACCACCTTGCTGGAATTCTTAACTGAAGAGAAATCATCATTACTAAAGCCTGAAGAATAATTAAAACAAACGAAAACCTTAGAATACGCTAATTTCATACATGCTGTGATATATTCCTTTTCATCCAAACATGAATTTAAGCTAACACTCTAGCATTTTCAAAAACACAGACTCCCCGCCGGACACGAAATCCGCAGAGCAAAGCGACGAAAACATTTCACGCTAAGAAAGTTTTAAGAAAGGAAAGGAAAACGTTATCGGTGAAAGGCAAAAAGCATATTAATTTACTCAAAAGTATTCTGACGGGGAAATGCAGGGATTCATAAGTGGATTCAGTAATCACGGAAGTAAAAGGCTGTACGAAAAGTGTGCAAGTAGTCCAAACTTCATGTGCTTGGCGAAGCGATTCAACGCAGTGTTTAACGATAACTTTCCAAAGTTTTGGGAATGGAATAAAGGTTAGTAACAGAAACGCTGCTTCTGGAATTTATTCAGAATGTATTTACTTCTGCTGAAGGCTATGAAGTCCATGTTTCTCTCTGTATTTTGCTAAATGACAACTATTGCTTGAAAGCTAAGCTTATGGAAATCAAATTCATTTATCTTGTAATGCATGCATGCATTGAGTTCAAACTCAAAATTTCTGATGAAAGAAATCTTTTCACTGCAATTTTGACAACCCAAATTGACCAGTCAAGCCCAGCTGACTTTGTCCTCCACAGACAGTGGAAAGCACCAAAAGGAGTGTTTAAAACTTCCTTAATGTTAATCTCCAGCGTGACCGGAGTCGGCATAAAAGTTTTGCTGTGAAAAAAAATAAAAAGCCTTATATGATAACCAACTTCTGGTCCTGTTTTTCCTTGCAAATTTCCATGTTTATGTTGAATGAAAAGATATTCATGTTATTGATATCTCAGCCAATGAAAGGCAAAACTGTTTATTACATTTGTTATCGCTAGAGTTGCAAGTTCTCTAGTTCCCACCTAGAGCTGCCATAGATTGGGAACTGTGGTTTACCGGTACAGTAGAACATAGGTTTAGCAACTCTATTGACCAATCAGAGCATGCATAGTATCTCAGTTATTTTATAAATGCTCATATTAAATTTAAAAAACCTTAATGAGCATATGCAGTATCATTTCAAGATGGAGGCTTGGCAATCTGCCAACCAGCTCATGAAAAAGAATGGCTACAGGACATTAGTTGATCTAAGAGATGCTTATTACTCAGTGCCCATTGATGAGGAATATTAAAAGTTTGTAGAGTTCACCTGGAGAGGAAAATTACTTCAGTTGACTTGTTTACCTAATCGACTTTCTTGAGCCCTATGCCTGTTTACAAAGATCTTAAAACCTGTTTATGCCTCTCTTAGAAAGAAAGGGCATCTAAATGTGAGATATATTGATTACTCCTATCTACGAGGAGATAAGATACATGAATGTCAGTCTAATGTTACTGATACTTATTGCCTATTTACAAGATTGGGGTATTATACACTCTGTGAAATCAGTGCTTGGACCAGTTTAGACACTGGTTTTTCAGGGGTTTTGTTCTGAATTCTGCCATTACAACTGTTTCCCTTCCCTCTGAAAAGGTGCTTGGCATCAAAGAGCAGTGCCTTGGGCTTATTAGCAGTGTATCTATATCAATTCAAAAAAGTCTTGCAGAATTAAAATGGTAGTGTGATAATATTGAAAAAGCTGACTATCCTCTTTGTACCCCAAATGCAAAGATTGGCATAACCCTGTACATGCTTCACATGAGGGTTGGGGTGCAGTCATGGGCAGTGAAAAAACAGGAGGCAGAGGGACTGAAGCTGAACTGAAGAATCACAATTGCCTTTGAACTCATGGCTGTATTTTTTGGTTTGAAAGCTTTCTGCAGTAGAATGAAAAGTGTCCATATTTACATTTATTTGGGCAATTCAACCACTGTTAACTACCTTAATAATTTCTATGGGAGGCACACATTCTATAGAGTGCAACTCTGCTGCCAAAGATATCTGGCAGTTTTGTATTGAGAGGGAGATTTGGATTTCTGAAGCTCATATCCCAGGGAAGAATAATACTCAAGCTGACAGGGAGTCTAGAGTTTTTAGTGCAGAGTGCACTATTGCGATGGTTTAGGGGGCTGCTGTTTGCCAAGGCACCAAGCAATAAGGCACTAACACATTAAGGAGTAACCCTGTACACACTTCACACAAGGATTAGGGTGCAGTCATGGGCATTGAAAAACCGAGAGGCAGAGGGACTGAAGCTGAACCAAAGAATCACATTAATTGCCTTTGAACTCGTGGCTGTATTTTTTGGTTTGAAAGCTTTCTGCAGTAGAATGAAAAGTGTCCATATTTACATTTATTTGGGCAATTCAACCACTGTTAACTACCTTAATAATTTCTATGGGAGGCACACATTCTATAGAGTGCAACTCTGCTGCCGAAGATATCTGGCAGTTTTGTATTGAGAGAGAGATTTGGATTTCTGAAGCTCATATCCCAGGGAAGAATAATACTCAAGCTGACAGAGAGTCTAGAGTTTTTAGTGCAGAGTGCACTATTGCAATGGTTTAGGGGGCTGCTGTTTGCCAAGGCACTAAACAATAAGGCGCTGACACAATAAGGTGTAAACTTTAATGTTTGTTTAATTAATTACTTTCAATTAATCAATCAGCCTTGCGGGAAGGGGAGCTGGGTGGGGTAGGTACCCAAGCCCATTCTGCAAAATGTGTCATACTTACGTTGCTTTCTTTGATAACATGACAAATATATATGGTTTTGCAAATCTCATACTATCGTTGTAGTGCCATTCTCTTAAGAACAAAAGCAAGTTGCTCCAAATGCATGCGCAAATTAGTTAGCTTCAAAGTCGACTATATGTTAGGTAAAAGATACATTTCATATGGGACTACTTACGAAACCTCTGATTAATTTCATCAGTTGATGAGGTGACACACCGATGTGGGATATAATTTTGGTCAAGTAAAGATCTCTACCTTCAAAATTTCTCGTTGAAATGCTCCTCAGTTGTATTACTCGATATCATTGTGTATTAGTTTGTTGTGGTTTTATTGTTTACACCAACTCGGCTGGCAAAAGAATTAGAACGCACTATTCTGTGATTCGACATGACTATTTGATAATGAGATTAGTTCTTGTTTATCGGTGAAATGAAAATTTACATTTTGAATAAAACAAAATCATTCCTCTTCAACTTTTCAGCAGATATTTAACTTTTATATTCCATTTATCTCGAGCAGTGAGTTAAAAAAATACACATCTTTCTTATATTTATCTTGTTGCATACATTGGCAAGGAAAACAAAAGTATCAAATCACAAACGTTGGCGTGGAAAGTAAAATTGTCACATTTGCTACTTCTACGCATTATTGTTTTTAAAATGAACAAAACTCAAGATAAAATACCACAGTAAATTTAAAACTGTCTTGACAAACGGTCATTGTAAGTTATTTTTGGGCAAAACAAAAACATGAAACACACACTGCTAAAAGTTATGTCTTATCAAGTTTTTGTCAGCTCATATTCTGCAGAGGGGAAAAGGCCTACTTGACTAGCAATGGAGAGAACAGCAGGGGTGAGGACCTGTGTGACTACTGCATCAGAGCCATAAATACTTACACTCTGCACTATCTGAGATTGTCTCACTAGTTATTGATAATAAGGAGTGGAGTTGCTAAGACCAGACATATTACAACTAGTTACAAAAATCTGGTTGAAACATGTATTGACCTCATTTATAGGCTAAATGCACAGGTGTATCTTATGCATTCTGGAGAACTGATCCTGGCGTAACGTATGTAGATGTTTTTTCAATCATATGGGAACACAATTTTTTTATGCTTTTCCCCTATTTATTTTGATTGTTCATTGCCTGCCCAAGATAGCGAGGATGGAAGCAGAGGGCATAATGATTGTTCCCTTCTGGCCTACCCAGCCATGTACTCACAGCTGTTACACCTGATAGTACATGTGCCAACCTTGGACAATTTCACAGCAACTGACCATATGCAAGATGCCAGGGAAAGAGTATGAGTTTCTTCCATTAATAAAGAAGATGTTCCTGATGGCTTCCAGGTTATCAGGGAATCACTTGAAGTGCAAGGAATTTTGAAGAGGGCTGAGGAAATCATCCTACAATTTTGGCCGCAATCTTAAACAGTACTCATCTTACATTACTAAGTGGATTACATTTTGTAGTAACCAACAAATTGATTGTGTTTCCCCCACTTTATCTCAAGCGTTAGATTTTCCAGTTGAAATGTTTAAAAATGGAATAGGATATAGTGATATAAACACTGCCAGGTCTTCTTTGTCATGTATTATCAACCCCTTGGCTGTCATCCTACAGTTACAAGGTTCCTCAAAAGGGTTTTTGAACCAAAACTCACAGCACCATGATACACACAAACACGGGATGTTAGCAAGGTACTTTGCTACCTTGAGACAATATATAACTCAGAGGATTTATCATTAAGGGACCTGACCTTTAAAACCATAATGGTTGTATCTGCCCAAAGAGGCCAAACTATTCATTATCTTAACCTTGATGATATGATAAGTTCAGAAACTTTGATTATGTTCATCTTAAGGAAACCTCTCAAACAGTCCAAACAAGGAGTTAGCTAATGCTAAGGTCATGTTTACTTCATATCCTTCTGATCCTCGCATTTGTGTGATCACTATTCTAAGGACCTATTAGCTTGCACAAGATGCAAACGCAGGGCTGGAAATAACAGTTGGTCATCGGACATTGTTCGACCAAATTTTAAATATGTCCGGCCAATTTCACATTATGATTGGACATGATGTGCGAACATTTCACGAACACCACATTATTGGGCCCTCGACTCTAACAGTTTGAGCCATATCCTGGGCTCCTGCCATGTCATAAAGCAGAAGTGTTCATCTTTCCTGTACTTGCCAAATAAAGTACTCTTCAGAAATCGCCCTATTATGCCTTACATCCATTGCAATATGCTGTTAGTCCTTCATGTATGTACCCTGGAGTCAACTTTGGTCAGGAGCCCATCACTAGGAACCTGCAACTCCCATACTGAGCTTATGTCATGGTATTTCTACAGACTGGTCCATTTTAAGGCTTCTTTTCCCACAAAAAAGGTCAGTTCTGGTCTATATGAGCACAAATCGGTAAGGAGAAAAATGGTGGCCTCAGGTGGTCATGTTTACCTAATCTTCTGGTGAAATTATAAAGTCCATGCTTGTGATTGGTCACTGAGGTTCCTACGGGGGTCTGAATTTGTGGTAAATTCAAACTGAAAATAGATGGGTCTGTGAAAAGGCTGGGACAGGAATAATGAAAGGCCGTGTGCAAGAACGTCCCCTAGATTTTTTGGCCATTTTGAAAGTGCTCAAAAATAGCTGAATTTTGGCATGTGNTCTACTTAATGTGCTCAACAATACGAACTTAAGTTTTGTTACCATGGCAACATACTGGGTTCCAGACCTCCCCAATATTAAAGGCTTTTCTGCCCACCTTTAGCATTCCATTTTGATATTTGCTAATGGTGCCTCATATGCATGATCCAGCAAGCATATATATCTATTAGCTCGAGTTCATCGCTTCGTTTAATGTTTTTCGAGCTGAAAATCACTAACATATTGAAATCAAGTGGGTGGGGACTGGAAAAGAGTGAGTTGCCATGGGAAAGGAATTTTATATAACCGTAGATGTGTTTCCTGTAGAACTATTCGCCTACCAAGTTTCAATGATCTGTGTTGCAAATTGGCCAAGATAGCTCTATTTATATACTTGATATAATATTGGGTTGAGTGTATGACATCATCAGTCATCTCATTTGCATATTTTTCACATTTTTCAAACTTAAATATCTTCGGAACTAATGCAGATATTTGCAAACGGTAAACAGCTTTTTATTCTTTTATGATATTCTATGTGATACACCTAAAAAATCAAGGGGTAAAAATTTGATCATAGTACCACTTTAAGGTGTGAAAAATAAACTTTTGGGATGAATTTTTGCGATATTTATCGGTAACAGAAGGCATAGTCTTTAAATTCTTTTATGAGGCAAAAACACACGCATTGTCATTTACTTTAAGGCAAATGTATAAATGAATATTTCCTCATAGGGAAACTTCCAAGTAACATGCTTGTATTTTAGAACAAAATGAAACCATCCTACTCGGTGAGGGTATAGATTAACGCTCAGTAAGTTCAGCTATTAGCTGAAGGTTTAATTGTTTACCCACAATTGAACAACTAATTAAAAGCCAGCAGAACATAAGGTGTGTTTTCATTCAGCACTCAAATTTTGTGACCTTTTGGGCAGGAATTAACAATTTAGTAAATATATAGCTAAATGTGACATCATCAATGACGTCACATGTTGCTTTGAATGTATTCTGCAATGTAATCAATTTAACTGGAATTAGGCGGGAGGCAAGTTATGTGGTATTCCGAGGTGCAAATATAAAGCAGACGGCTTAGTATCTAACTTATTTTGCAAAATCAATACCAGGATCACGTCATTTCCAATGTCATTTTGAGGCTGAAGACAGCAAAAAAATATTGGTAACAAGCATTTTTGTTTTCAGCACATCAAATTACTTTAAAAAAACTCCTGTTACCAACTTTTACTAAGAAATGCCTCATAACTTTCAAATTCTGTGAAAGTCATCTGGTCTAACAGGAGCAGAGTAATGCAAGATGGGGGACATACTCCAGCTAATAGGTTGACAGAGACATGCAGCCTTGGTTTATAGCATTCTTCTTTGATATTTGACATCCCTGCTATGGTCAATTGACACCTGTCAAAACAAAGTATAATTATGCTGACCATTGTCACGTGACCATATTACGGGCTCAAGTTTAGGGCTCATTGAGGTCACGTTTTTTTAAAGTTGACCGCTGACCATCTGCTGGTTTTCGGTTGTATCATGGGCTCGTGTCAGGTTAACTTGTTGTAAGTAGTGCCAGGTTGTTCAGAAGCTCTAGCCCAGGATTAAAAGTTAACCAAAGTATAGCATTTTCTCGTATACAAACGTTTTTCACTGCTTTTGTTTTGTGTATTTTGGGATTATTCAAACTCAAAACAGAAGGCCAAACAATATACAGAAAACCTCACTGCAAAGTTACAAAACTCAAATCAAAATTCTCACTTACCCTGGGTTAGCTTAATCGGGCTTTGAACAACCCGGCTCAGGAGCTCCGCTTTTAGGCTTGGCTAAATCAATATATTAGTTCTTTAACTCTGAAGTACTGTGTACATGTACCGGTACATAACACATTCATTTTTTTTTTGTTCCAACTCGTTTCTTTATCAGTAGTAACAATCAAAACAGCTCAAGTGTTCTACCTAATGATAGTTGCAAAATTTATGTTGTGTCACAAACACACAAACTTCTCAAAATCTTTTTGATCAGATTGAAATATCATGAGTTGGCTTGAAAGCCATTTTTGTTTTCCTATCAAAAAGAGAAGTTCAGCCAATGATTCATATCTAAGGTAGCCACATGCAGTCCTTGACTGCCTATTGTTCATCTTTGCAGTTAACATCATGCTATCCCCCCCTGTTGAGACAATAATAAGTTTTGGGGGAGGGGAGGATGGGGTATTCCTAGAGGAGCTTAGCTTTTACAGGACCAAAAATCGCTGATCAGCCAGTCTACTCATTGATTCATGACTCATAGACCCATTTGACTCATAAACAACCTACTTCAGGATGACTTGCCTGACAACTCCCTGAATTGTACTCCACTTGGTCCAGTTGCTATAGCATATCCCTATTGTGATACCTAACTGCTGATTACAGGTATCATTTTAGCAATTCCTGCATGTACATGGAATTAGATTGGTTTGTGTATAATGTTAGCATAATTAATCAAGTTTGTTCTTGGTGAAGCCAATCGAGTGTGAGTCAAATTATCCTTTTAACATGTCTATCTCATATACATAGTTACACTGTATATGTTGAACATTATGTGAACATTATGTGTAATAATTATGTGAGATGCAGTTATGTGAATTATGTGAAGTGCAGTGTAGTGTGTCTGAATGTTTTGGAGGTTGCAACAAAGAATTTGGTTAATCTCTAATTTGTTTATTTGCCTTTGATAAACTCTTTGCTATTTTCCAGGTCTTGGTAGAAATGACAGACGGTGGGCTGGACTACACATTTGAATGTATTGGAAATATCCACACCATGGTAATTATGCATGTCTTTGGTAATCTGTATTACTGTCAGTTACTGTCAGTGTTAACTGCAAGGCATTGTAGTCTCTTATATAAATTTAGTTTATTGGACTAGCCTAATCTTCATTTCTGCATCAAGATCTATCATGATTATTTGTCTTAACCTCTTAACTCCTACAATGTCTCCATCCTTAATTTTCTAACTACTGTAAATAAGTTTTCCCAGATTTCATTTACAGCAGGCATTAAATAGTTACTTCAGAAAATTGAATGGTTTCTTGTGCTGCTCCAGAAACTACACACACCACCATGGCTTTTTTGTCATCCCCACCCATGAAACTTTGTACTTTCTAGCTTTTGAGATGTCTGACCCCTTAAAATTTCCAACGATTTTCCTTGGGGTAGGAAGAGGTTTATAAATAGACATTTTTGTGGAAGTGCACATGCCAAAAGTGTTAACCAACCACGACATATATATTTCTACAACTACATGTGGGAAGTTCAACTTGGCTTAAAAGTTCTATTTTTGTGGCTGTCCAGCATTGGTGCTCAGTTCAGACAATGATCAAGACATAGAGTGTAATGGATGAGGTGTTAGTCTAAATGCATACATAAGTGTTACATAAGCTGCTTATTTACCAAAAATTATGCTGCTTTTCTGTGGACAGCTACCTCCCTTGAGGACAGTTACATCTTTCTTTTCATGTTTGTCCCATGCTGCATTTTCATACTCCAGTATCTTTCACAGTGTTAGGGCAGTTCAAATTGTCTTATTCAGTTTTATTAACACAGATTTGAAGTTACCGTAAAGACCCGAAGATAAGCTGCACCTTTTTTTGCAAAAATCGTCCCTCAAAATTGGGGGTGCAGCATATCTGCAGGAACATTTGGAAAAGGTGCCGTAAATCTCCGTGAATTGACACTTTATGGATAAGTATGTCAATAAACATTACATAAAACTACAAGGGAGTACTGGTCATTGCTTTTGCAAGTTTGGTGGCTCCTAAAAGAGCCTTTGTTGATGTAAGTGTAAGCTTATTGTAGAGCTTACATTTGTCGCCGCTTAAAGCGTTAAACCTTCTTCGTTAGGAGATCCTTCAAGCGGCTTATGGTCGCTTTTCTCGAACAGGAAAACGTCACGCAGCACGGAATTTCCATTCCCCTGCAAAGCTGTTCGCAGCATTGACAACGGCCAGTAACTTCAACAGATATCGATCCTCCATGAGCGAGAAAATACCACACTATTCTTAAGTATTCGCGTGGTAGATGGCCCACTGTTTCCTCACTGTTTAGCACTTTGATGGCATATTTGTCAAACTGATTATGTAAATCTCTTAGAGCAACAAATTTGTCTCCGACATTTGGCTCCCAAATCTCTTTCTAGATGTGATAGCCACGAACAGCAGATGTAAACTCGAACGACTCCATCTTGTTTTGCTTGAGAATGAACAAACAAGACAAACTTATCGTTCTCACCAATTGTGCCAAAATGCATCCTATTGCTATGCGATGAAATGCCTTATTTGCATTCTGTCAATAACACACATATGGGTTTGTTTACCTATTTCAAGCGTGCAAAAATAGGAATTACTTACTACATACCATTTCCTTCCAAATTAAGTTCTTATCGTATTCATTAATGAATGTAGAAGTCTTTCCTTGAGTCTTATTTAAGAAAATCTATCCATATTTCTTTTTAACCTCCAAAAACCCATAGTGAGAAAACACAGATTACAATAAATCATCAAAGAACAATACTTACACAAAAGCACATTTATAACCAATCAGCGCTGTGCAATTTTCGATCCTGATTTACTTTTCGATCCTACCCAGCTGTTTATAAATGTAGAACCAAGCAACTTGATTTATTACGGTCTAATCAGCCTTACAATGCGCTATAAGAGTTATCAGATCTAAATCATGTCAGAAAGAGGTACTCCGTGTGCATCAGACACTGCGGGGTTCAAGTTGCGAGTTATGAGCTATGCCATCGATCACGGTAACCATGCCGCTGGAAAGAAGTTTTCTGTGGATGAAAGTTGTGTTCGCAGGTGGCGAGTTCAAAGAGAAAAGTTGACAAACACCCCAAAGATGAAACGTGAAAACCGTCATGGTGTGGCGCATTTTCCGGAACTGGAGAAAGAACTAGCATGTTGGGTCAGAGAGAAATGCCAAGGAGGTTTCGGAATTTCTACCAACATTATATGTCTCAAGGCCAAACTTATTGCAAAGAAATCTGGATTAGAGGAGGAAAAAAATTTAGAGCTTCGAAACATTGGTGTTACCGCTTTATGGAATAAAATGGAGTTTCAATTAGACGCTGCACTACAGTCGCTCAGAAGCTGTCTAAAGACTACGAAGATAAACTGATCAATTTTCAACGCCTTATTATTTCCAAGAGAAAGCAGCATAACTTCGAACTGAGACATATTGGTAATGTAGACCAGACACCTTTGACATTTGACATTGTGACAAATAGCACTATTGTTGAGAAAGGTGTAAAGAGTGTCCCGATTATCACAATTGGACTTGACAAGGACAGGTTCACTGTGATGCTGGCTTGCCTAGGAGATGGCACGAAACTTCCGCCATACGTTGTCTTCAAACGAAAAACATTACCAAAGAAAATGGTTTTCCCCCCTGGGCTCGTTGTCAGGTACCAAGAAAAAGGATGGATGAATGAAGAATTAGTGAAAGACTGGCTGAAAACGGTTTGGAGCAAAGTCGGTGGTTTGAGTCGCCAAAAGTCGATGCTTGTATGGGACTCATTTCGTGCACATGTGTCACAACCAATTTGGAGGACACTGCAGTCACTGAACACAGAGTGTGCAGTTATTCCAGGAAGGATGACAGGCCTACTCCAACTTCTTGATGTCTGCATCAACAAACCATTCAAAGGTCACCTTAGAAGCAAGTGGCAGCAGTGGATGATATCTGGAGAACACACCTTGACTGCTACCGGCCATATGCATAAAGCTGAGTTGAATGTGATCTGCAACTGGATCAAGCAAGCATGGGATGATATTCCAACCAAGATGATTCAGAAATCTTTCCACAAGTGCTGCATCACTAATGCAATTGACAGAACCAAGGATGATGAAGTATGGGAGCAGGAAAGTGAAGACCCTTTTGAGGATGTGGACGATGCAGGGCCGACTGACGAGCTGTACTACGCTGATGCATGCGAGAAGGAACAAGTAGGACTTGATCCAACAACCTATGAAATGATGTTTGGAAGCAGTGATGATGAGGAGGACTTCTATGACTTCTAATAGCTTTTTACGGCTGAATATGAGTTTATTACACTTCATTCCAGAACTTTTCCGTTGACATGTAAATACCCTGTGGTTATTGCCTTTTTTTATATTACAATGTAAGAAATTCTTTTTCTTGACAAACATATGCATTCTGGTACATGTACTGTTATAGATTGTGTGAACAAATAAATGTATTTTGTATTTTACAAAAACAGTCTTGTGTCAACTACGTATTAACAAATAAAGACGCCGTTACACTGGGCAATGTTTCGGGCGACTTATCTCTCAATTTTGTTTAGCCATTGCAAGACAAGTTACAGAAACGGTGCTTTATGTAATACCCGCAAAACTCTTAAAAACATCAGGCAGCTTCCGGTGTCCAGTTTTCCATCTTCCAATCCTATCGAAAGCTACACACGTTCGACAAACACTCAAGTAAAAATCTATGGAAAAACAGTGTTGAATGAAGAAATACCTGTCAACAAATTCCAGAAAAAGATCAATCATATGTCAAAGATGGTGGAAACAATGTTCATAATATTAAAGCGCTAAAATTGTGGGTAAGACTTTGAAGTATTTTTCGTTTCAATGTTAAAAGTGAGTTTACGTTTGATGAACAAGACTCCTAAAGGCTTGACTTTGGATTTCTTTCAAAAAACTTTTTTTCCAAAATTTGAGTTGCTAAACTCAGGGTGCGGCTTATCTGCGGGTGTTTACAGTAAGTGAGAGTCTCACAAGAGGAAATGCAATTAGCAAACTTGTGACAAATTACACTGCAGATCACCAAGAGAATGTCTACTGACCTCTACAGATTGTTTGAATTTCGGTGAATAGCCTAGAAGCACCATTCTACACCATTCCTCTGAACTTTTTGCTTAAAATTGAATTAACTTTTGCAAAAACCAGGCAAAATGAATAATGTACATACTTAACTGTTGTCATTTTTTGTAGCGTGCTGCACTAGAGTCATGTCACAAAGGTTGGGGAACATCTGTCATCATTGGAGTAGCTGGAGCAGGACAGGAGATTTCTACCCGACCATTCCAGCTTGTTACTGGACGAACCTGGAAAGGAACAGCATTCGGAGGTAACACTAGTCCCTCTTTCACTTAGTCCATCGTGCACGACGCAAAACGAAATTGTGAGAAAAAATGGCCACCCGAAATCCTGGGGGTGAGGAGCATGCAAAAGGACGAACTACTGCCTAAGCCAGGGAGTTTGAACTTTCCTGGCTGAGTGATTTTTCAGTGTAGGATTTCTTATCTTGACGTCCTCTTATGATTGCCTGTTGTCAATAACCCCAGGAGATATCCTGAATAAAATTGCTCTACTCTACTCTTCAGGCAGCAAGGCAAAAACATGCCGTGAGGAATATACCTTCATTCAGTGTTCGTTCAGCAAAACTGCAAAAGAAGTTTTAAAAAGAAGACAGTGAAGGGGGCATCTTGTAGTGATTTTCCCTGCGTCTGTAGGTGTAAATCTAAAAGTTATTGCAAAAATTTCAAATACAGAGTTTCAACTGAGAATTTTCATTATGTATTTGACATAGGAGATCATCCAACTGCAGTGACATGTTTGCTGATAGCAGCAGAAAGTTTCAGGTGAATGTCTTGTTTCAAGTGAAAGTCTGGTTCAATCTTTCACATTGATGGCAAAACGACCAAGCTCAGTGAATTCATGTTCACTGAATTGTTCTTGGACCATGCTGTTGAGAGGCAGCAAAATCACTAACACACTCTCATTCTGGTTTGAGGCGGAAAGCTTTGCCAAACAAAACACCTGATAAATTTAGTTCTTTCCAAAGCGTGTTGTCAGAATCGCAATAACACCATGGCTTGCAAAGCACGATTCCAACGCTTCGATTTGCTTATTTTCCAAAGCTTTCTATTGTCGAAAAGTGTGATAAACATTCCTGCAAGACATTGCACATATCTCAAATATCGACAATGCGTTGTTAATGTTCCTAACATAAGCCAGTCATATTTTTGCATTATCAGAGCTACGCATAATTCAAACTTATAAGTAATTGAGGCTTGACTTTTGCAACAAAGTTTTCATAGCTATTGCTATCCTTGAGAAAGTCGGAGATGTGATGCTGAAATTCCACTTAGTTGTCCAGAAGGTTATCAAAGGCAAATTCTGCTGCACCTATTGCCACAGATTGAGTGCTATGAGAGGTTCCTGAGTACAGATCCTGCAACATTGTTTTTTTTTAAATGCAACTTTATTACAAACACCTACGAGATACATCATGAGATAACACAAAGACATAAGTTACAAAAATAGTACTTACTGTATACATTTAAGATGTATCACTATATTTACATTTATGCACTTCGTGCATTACATCATTTATAAACAAAGTAGTGAATAAAGATGGTGAATTTTTAAGCCTGGTAATGAAATGTGAAAAGTGAACTGATCAACATGACACAAGCATCAGACAAAGAAAAAGTCTGAGTACCACACAGGAATCAAGCCCATGACCTTCCAAACACCGGCAGGCACTCTATCCACTGAGCTACAAGAACTCATGGAGAACAAGGTCATTTAACTGAGTTCATGTGTGCTACTGTCAGCACTGTTGAAGTCATCATGAGTGTGATCAGTGAATAAAGATGGTGAATTTTAAGCTTGGTAATGAAATGTGAAAAGTGAACTGATTGACAAGACACGAGCATTGGAAAAAGAAAAAATCTGAGTCACTGAAAGGACTCTAACCCATGACCTCCCGAATACCAGGTGGGTGCTCTATCCACTGAGCTATGAGAACTCATGGAGAGCAAGGTCATTTAACTGAGTTCATATGCGGCAGGCATCCTGCATACTGCTAGGATCAGCATTGTTGAAGTCATTGTGAGTGTGATAGGTGAATAAAGATGGTGAATTTTAAGCTTGGTAATGAAATGTGAAAAGTGAACTGATCAGCATAACACGAGCATGGGACAAGGAAAAAATATGAGTCCCCAACAAGAATCGAACACATGACCAGCCAAACACAGACGGGTGTTCTATCCATTTGGAAAGGAAGTGCTCACTTTGATGTAGAGAGAATTTCTGGTTCAATCATGTGGTGTTCGACTAAAAAGCAGGTTACAATTATAATTCTAAGAAAAGGTGACAAACAAAATCAAAAAGATAAAGAAAAACAACTTACAGATAGATGAACTAAACTGAAACTTGACACAATTGCTGCATGATATAATATGTACTGAACAAAAATCTTGCACAATGAATCACATGTATTTTACATGTATATATTTTAATTTATGTATTTTAATGTTGTAGTATACATGACCCCACAAGCCTTGTAGCTTTGGTTCTTATCATGTAGAAATAAAGGCTTTATGTGTATATGTTTATGTTATGATCGACAAGTTAAATTTTAAATCAAGTTTAATGTACTTAGGGGAAATGTCACGCACCTTTGAATCCTACCTACCAGCGCCTTAATGCGAACTGAAAGCATTTAAACTTAGTTGAGTGATTCAAATGGAAAAACTTGGGTAATACATTGTGACTAAATCCATTCAAAATGGTTCATCACAATCAAGTCAATGAAGAAACAACTGTTCTCTGACGTTACAAGCAAACTTCTTGGTTGAGGACATAGACTGCGAGCAGTCTCTCAAGTTTTCTACCATGAGTACAATGTCTCCAGTTTAAAACAATGCCCTTATCTTTGCAGTGACTGCCTTTTCACTTATACAATTAAACTCCCAGATACTGACTTTTAAAAACAGTCTCCAACCAAATGGAATAAAACTAAACATAAGCTCACAAGTACGCAATGCGGACCTATGTTTTGTTTAGTAACCAAACATCTTCCCAGTAAAGACGATCAGAAAACAAGAGCAAGAGCAAGCGAAATGTGCAAATTTTGTTCTCTGTTACCATGGTTTTTCGATGAAAGTTTGCTCAAAAGTTCAATTGGAATTTCACGGCCTGTTGAGCAATAATTCGCTAGAACAAAGGATGATATTTCTTCAAATTTTCAATAAGTTAACGAAAAATTGTGAGCACTAACAGTAAGTCACCAATAATAATTTTGCAACTTGCTAAACCACAGTTCGTCAGCATCCATGCAATTTTCAATTTCCGTGTAATTTGAAATTAATGGTATTTGTTTTATTGCATATGCGAGAAGTTCAGTGCAAATAATGAAAAGATATGGTGACAGGGGATCGCCCTGTCTAACACCTCTCGAGACCAAAAAAGAATTTGAGCAGTGGCCATTGTATATGGAATAGAGATATTAAAATTAATAAAAGGTTTTATCCCACTGTCTTATGGACTAACCAAATTAAAAAACTTTAACGCTTCATCCAGAAAGTTTCATTTCACTGAATCGAACGCTTTCTCTAAATCAATTAATAGCAGTAAGCCCTGTTGGTTATAAGAATTTAGTTTATCTATAATATCGTAAATCAGCGTAGTATTTTTTGCTATGGACCTTTTTTAAGAAAGCCTTTTTGGGTGTGTGATATGATGGTTGGGAGAACTTTCTTAATACGATTTGCAGTGACAGCTGAAACTATTTTATAATCGACCCCAAGTAGGGACACTGGTGTCCAATTTTTAAATAAAACTTTGATTTGTTTGGTTCAGGTAAGGTAGCTATGAGTGCACTTCTCTGAGTGACCTACATTTCACCCAAGCTGTAGGAGAAATCAATTGACCATACAAAAATTAATAATGGTTGAGGTCCTTCCAAAAAAAATTTATAAAATTCTGCAGTAAAACCATCCACCCTAGGGCTTTTTCCATCACCCATAACCTTCAGGGCATCTAAACATTCTTTAGCAGAAATAAAACCCTTGCAAGAGTCATCTTCTTTAGGAGACAACTTTGTCCTTGTATTATCATGGTTGAAGAAGTTGACAAACGATCTGCCCTAAGTTGAGTTTTCTTTTAGGTGTAATGCCCCTCAAAAAAATACTCCTGTTCCCTAATTATGTCCTTTTAGTCTGTGATTTCGGTAGCATCCTCCAAAACAAGCTTAGGAATTAATTTGATAGTATAATGGCCTTTCTCCAGATTTAGAGAGTATTTGCCAGTAGTGTTTGTTGCTGCCAAAGGGTGAATCCTTCCTTGGCCACATACAGCAACAGATTCCAAATGCCCAAACAAGAAGAGGTTTGAACTAAGAAACAACAAAAAATACAAACTTACAAGAATAGTGTAGAAATGTACCACTGAAAAGCGACTTAAAGCGAAATGCAGTGAATGAAATAACTCAAAACTTACATTGTACTGGTGCTGTCAGACGCGAAAGGGCAACTTTATATAGGTTATTACACTAAATGTATTCTCGTTGAGGTCAACGGTGAAACTAAAAACTGCAGCATGTGTGAAAACTAAACAAACTGGAAAATTAAACAAGATGCAAATTACATGAAACGTGCAGGAAAGTAACACAAAATGAATTCCCAAAGGAACATTAATGAAACTAAATAAAAGAGAGTGCTAGATTCTACATCCTGGCCCCTGATGGGAGATTATATACTGAGCAAGTCACTTACATCCAATAACTTACAATTAACAATTGCTGAACCTTATGTATCAGTACATTCTAAGAAGCATGCTTAGCAAACAAAGCTAACTGAAGGCTAAGTATAAATCAACTAAATGTCTCTTACTTCTCAGTGTCCACGTTTCCTGTGCTTGGACATTCGTTTTCAACCAAAAGGCAGAGCTTGTTGACAGGCCTTTCGTAAACAGCTGTCTTGATGAGCACTTTCACCTGGCGGCCAGTAATTGCGATGCAACTCAGATGCGGCCAGAACAATATCACCAACAGCCAAGTTCCTCTTTGGGTGCACCGACTTTTGTCTAAGTTGCATAAGGGGAAGGTACTCCTTGCTCCATCTCTTCCAGAAGATGTCCCCGAAATATTGTACTTCCTTGCATCGACGATGCAACAGAGAATCTTCCCTCTTGAATAAACTGGGGGGTAAGGTGACTTCCGATTTGAGCAACAACAGGTGGTTGGGCGTCAAGGGGTTAATTGTTGTTTGGATCACCAGACATGGTAGTTATGGGTTGGCTGTTCATGATACTCTCAACTTCACACTTAAGGTGGCCAGA